CCCGGAGCGGGGGGGGGGGGGGGGGGGGGGCGGGGGGGGGGGGGGGGGGGGGTGGAGGATGTCACGGGGCAGGGTCACCCTCCAACCAACCAAACCAAACAACAACAACAAGCAAACCAAAGCAGAAGAAGAGAAGCTCCTTGTTCGACTTAAACTTGCATATTCAGATCGAAAGACAGAGACTGGGAGAGCCACACACACCACCTCCACCACCACCACCCCCGGAACATTTCGCCATCATCACAAGACTCGTTTGTCTCTGCTTTCTTTTGTCGTCTCGTTCTTTTCTTTGGGCATGACTGCAGATTTCGGCGTTCTTCGCTTTCGTTCGTCCTTCCCGTAGCTTGGCCATCACCCTTCTCGCCCTAGTCCCTGCAGCTGCTCTCCCACATATTCACCAGCGGATTCTCGAATCACCTTCGCTCGTCGAGCTGTATCTCTCTGTTGATGCCGTCTTTAACAGCATCTGCGGCGGACGAATAATATCAACAACAGCACTGGAGTACCACCATTCGTAACCCACGAGATAGTTTCTTTCTCGCTTTCGACCTCACCCACCTCCCACTCCCGCCCCTCCGATTTCTTTCCCCCTCACTGTCGAGGTGGCCTTCCAGAGAATGGGAAATGCTTGTCTTTCCTGCCTAACAGGTACCTTCTCCTCGATCGCCAGATGGTGCCATCTTTCTGACCTTTTGGCTCCGTGTAAAGGTCGATCGAGGGATGGCCTCTACGAGCCTATTCTCGCCGACAATGAACGAGAAGCGGTTGGGGATTTACTAGCCTACCTCGATCGCGTACGTACCACAGTTACCAGTGCAAAGCAACTCAAATAATAACCTACCTATCTAGCCCCCCCCCCGCACGTATAAGTGGAAGAGGCTAATCATTTTTTGTTCGATTCCCTAGCGATCTGACACCGATTTTTTCACTGGTGAACCTTTACGCGCTCTCAGCACACTGGTTTACTCTGATAATGTCGATCTTCAGCGAAGTGCAAGTCTTACCTTTGCTGAGATAACCGAAAGAGGTTAGTGACTACCCTGCTCTCACTGAGTTAATTAACTATATATAAATATATATGATGAATGTTAAAATTATGATTATTTATATAGATGTCCGCGAGGTTGGCCGAGATACCCTTGAACCAATATTATTCCTACTTCAGAGCTCAGATATCGAGGTACAGAGGGCAGCAAGCGCTGCTTTAGGTAACCTTGCTGTAAACAGTAGGTTGGCCCCATCTTGCCCGTAATCTATTTCGTTGAAACCTGATCTTCTAATATATGGATGTGATGATGCAGCGGAAAATAAAGTATCAATCGTCCTTCTTGGCGGACTTGCCCCTCTCATTCGACAAATGATCTCTCCAAACGTAGAAGTTCAATGTAATGCTGTTGGTTGCATCACAAACTTGGCCACCCATGAAGAAAATAAGGCAAAGATTGCGAGATCTGGTGCTCTTGGCCCATTAACACGTCTGGCCAAATCCAAAGACATGCGTGTCCAGCGAAATGCCACAGGGGCATTGTTGAATATGACACATTCTGGTAAGCCTCCTGCCACCTTTTCAAAGTTTCTATACCTCTCATCCTAATGTTTCTTCCGTTAGATGAAAATAGACAACAGCTAGTCATTGCGGGAGCCATCCCTGTCCTAGTACAACTCCTCGCCTCCCCCGATGTTGATGTCCAGTATTATTGTACCACAGCTTTAAGCAATATAGCGGTTGATGCAGGGAACCGCAAAAGGCTTGCACAGACAGAATCACGACTGGTGCAATCACTTGTTCAGCTGATGGATTCGTCAACCCCGAAAGTGCAGTGTCAAGCAGCGCTTGCCCTTCGAAACCTAGCATCAGATGAAAAGTACCAGTTGGAAATAGTTCGTGCCCGCGGCCTTCCACCTCTTTTGAGGCTCCTGCAGTCCTCCTATTTGCCATTAATTATCTCTGCTGTGGCCTGCATTCGAAATATCTCCATCCACCCCGACAACGAAGCCCCTATTATCAATGCCGGCTTTCTCAAACCTTTGGTTGAATTACTGGGATCCCTAGACCACGAAGAGATCCAATGTCACGCCATATCCACCCTACGGAATCTCGCGGCTAGCTCGGACAAGAATAAAGAATTGGTTCTTCAAGCCGGAGCCGTGCAAAAATGCAAGGATCTTGTCCTGCAAGTACCCTTGAGCGTTCAGTCGGAAATGACAGCTGCAATCGCAGTACTGGCCCTAA